ACTTCCTGTCTCCATACAATTCAGCAATGGTAGCATTTTAGCACATTACAAGCCCCGCCTCCTAGAAATATTTTATTTCCCCTTCATTGGTCGAAACAAAAACATATGAAAATTCTGCTAAAAAAGCCACGAAAATGCAGACGCACAAGTGTGAATGAAGTTATAAACGCACACAAAGCAATCTATAAACAAAAATGGTGGATACATTGAAAAAAGAAGGTGTTGTGGTGACATAATGGTCAGGATGTCATTTAGGGGTAAATATAATAATATAAATGATTCATCGGAGCGGGCGCCGTCTTCTTGGAATCTTACGCAAGATAAAAAGATACAAAAACCGAATGTAACTTTTTGTATTATGACTCCCCCAATATCAGGGCTGGGAGAAGGTGTCTTCTCTTCCGGAAACAGATGAGATAGGAATGTGTATGTAAATGTGGTGTCAGCCAGGAGCTGTGTGTGTGCTGATACAAGCTGTGATGTCACTGGTGTGTCATAAGTGGGATGGTCAGGGCTGTGGAGTTTCACCTTTCCAGTATCTCAGTGCTGTGAAGTGGAGTCAGTCAGTGGCAGCCGAGCAGAGCAGAGCCCATCCTGGGGATTACGAACCCTTTTTGGATTACTTGCATACAATGGGGACTTAATATTCCAGGAGGGAACACGATAGGTAAGCCGGTGACACTCTCTCTGTTTGAAGCTGGACATTTGGCGTGCAGCTGTTTTGTGGCTGGATGCTAGTGCTTGCAACATGTCATTGTGTACAAGTGTTAACACATCTTTCCGCCTGGCTGAGAACAAGATTTTCTGCTTTTTTTTTTTGCCTGCTGTCTTCTGTTTGTTAGAGAAGTATACCTAGGTGACCTTTTATATTGCATTACAAATTGTGTTGGAACCTGGAAAGGTGACCGCAGACTCGGTATGGGAACAGTCACCGAAAAATCCGCCTCCTACGTTCGGGACCTGTTGCGTAAACCGCACGCACTCCTTTCTACGGAACGTTGGAGAATCTCTGTGCCGCAAAGTTCAGTTTCAAGGCTTCCAAGCGCTCCTTTTTCGCCCTGTCGTTAACCCTTTCCTAGTCAACACATCGCTCTGCTGTTGGGTCAACCACAACCAGATGCAAGACGATCGCCGATCAGGCCAGCAGGTTCAGATTTTGGTTGTTGCGAGTGTTTGGGTCCTCGGTTTGAATCTTGGCGAGGACTCTTATCTACATGGAGTTTGCATGTTCTCCCTGTGCTGCTTTGGGCTCCCTCCGGGTACTCCAGCTTTCGTCCACAGTCAAAAGATATGGTGGTAGGTTAATTGGCTCCTGTCTAAATTGGCCCTTGTATGTGTATGTATGCATATGTGAGAGAGGGATTGTATACTCCTTGAGGGCAGCGACTCGTGTGAATGTGCCGTGTGGATTGGCAGGGCCATATAAATACCTGTAATAAATAATAGTGGGACATTTTAGCAGTCCCAACCCACTGTTCTTGAAGGGCCAGTTGGGTTGGACGACTGTTGTTTCATCTGAAAGCTGGAGACCAGGGGTGCCTGTGTAGCACATGGATGTCCACAGTTGGGTGATGTGTGCACTGTTCATTGTTGGGGTGCCTCTACTTTGTGAATCCCATACTGGAGGTACTGCACTTGCAGGGAAATTAACATTTTGACCAGATAATGTTTCATGCTGTCAAAGGTTGGGCTTTCTGCTGTTCTTGGTGCTGTAAAAGGACACCAGAATAATGTTTCTTTCTGTAGGATCCTTTTTATTGAGGGAACTAGAAGTACCAGCATTCCTATCTTGCTTTATAATGAAGCGTGCTGGGAATTCCTAAACCCCCAGTGATTGCAATGGTCTGGTGCAGGAATCGCAGGAGCCAGGTCCCTAATGCTCCTTAAGAATGACAGCTGGCACCCAGCGTTTGAGGTTTTCTCTAGTTTGCTGTCACTGGTGCCGACTCCTAAAAAAACAAACCTCTCCTGGATTGGACAGACCGGCTCCTGAATTCCATTTTCATACCCCTTTGATGTTCCGGTATAGATGGACAGGTCACTTTGTAGTTCCGCGACAGATAGATATAAGGTCACATCTTGCTCACATGTATCCGAGAGGGGTATTGGTTGAGCCCTGTAAGATACGCCAACACATAACAACCAATCAGATTTTAGATGATTGGTTTTAGATTTCTTTTTGGTTGCTGTACTTGACGTGTTACGGTTTGCCGAGATTGGCATTTGTAGTTGAAAGTTGTCGCGTTTGGCGCGGAACAGTTGTTGGATGACTTCTGCATGTTGAACTTGATTCAAATCTATGGAAATATAAGTTCCCTTTTAACAAGCTGCATGCAAAGCTCTGTGTGCACAAAGGATATTGTTTGCGGCTGTTGTGTGTGTTTAATTCATCCTACAACATCTTGTATTTGCGTTCTCGTCTACCGCGATCCTGAATGTTTTTCATAGTTTATTGCCTCTGAACCCGGCTACTTCGCTGGACCGCAATGGTAAAACCTCAGACAGCCCGCACCTACTGTCCCCTTTAGTTATGTGTATATAGCGTATGGGGTATGTTTTTATAAAGGCAAATGCAGGCACAGTCATAGGGCCTAGGTCCACCAGCCCTCATCTGAAGGGTGACAGATGTGCAGTGAATGTTATGGGAGGGCACCTGGTAAGCCTCCACTGGAAGCCATGGGAGGGCACCAGGTAAGTCCTCCACTGGGAGCCATGGGAGGGCACCTGGTAAGTCCTCCACTGGGAGCCATGGGAGGGCACCTGGTAAGTCCTCCACTGGGAGCCATGGGAGGGCACCTGGTAAGTCCTCCACTGGAAGCTATGGGAGGGCACCTGGTAAGTCCTCCACTGGGAGCCATGGGAGGGTACCTGGTAAGTCCCCCACTGGAAGCCATGATCAAGACTTCGATCAGTAATTTACCATATTATAAATACAGTGAATGTTGCTGAGACCAACATTTCCTGTTGAAGGGTGGGAAACCCTGGTGTAGGGCACATCGGGATAATTCTGAACAATGTTTGGTTGCTGATTGTGTTTCATATGGGACACATCCAAGGAGCCAGGTTGCACATGCTCCTTAAAAAGTGACAGCTGGCGCCTAAATTCCAAGGTTTTTTAGTGGTTGTTAGTCGAGTCGGCTGCTAAAAAAAAAACCTGCTAACTCCTAGACTGGACAGACTGGCTCCTGAATTCCATATGCATTTGTCCAATCCTGCTTATGACTTTTTTTGGATGAGGTGTGAGAGGTTTTAACCCTCATTCAAGATTGTATTGTTGCTGGGGAGGTTAACAACTGTAGTTGTCCTAGAGACCATTGTCAAAGTGAGGGGAAATTCAAAATGTTAGAGTGGTCACCAAATTATTTGCCCCCATTGGATGGTTTCCCCCTTACCTATTGCTCTGGTGACAACTGTCTATTACCCTCACCTTGGTGAGATTTCCCCTGACTTCCTGTTGCTTCTTTAGAGCAGGAAAAGAGAGGAAGTTTCCCCAGTAGGACACACAAATTGGGATTTTAGCCCTTCTCTACTCTTTCCAAAATGAAAAAGTTTTGGTTATACAGTACATACACTTTAAAAGGTTTGCTGCTTTTGGCTCCCTTCCTTGCTTCCCTTCCCTGGTCACATGTCTGTAGGCCTAGGCACCTGGTCCTGTGATCTCTGCTGAATGGGAAGATAGGAGTTTGGGTTGGCTAAGCCTCTCTTGCAGTAGAGATCACCGTTAGCCTACTTAGTCTGTATAGGTTTCCGATTTTTTTCCAGATTCTATCGCAAATGTTTCTGGCACTCAAGTCTGACACCAGTATGGGGATCCAACTTGCACACGTCCCAGCTTTCTGAGATGAGAAAGAAGGACATTCTCCTGCATAGTGTATACAGGCAAAGGACATACCCCCAGTTATGGGGACCATTAAGAATTTATTTGCCAAACATGACTGGTTAACCCAAAATTGCTTTTTTTCACCATTTTAATTTTCCTTTTATACTGACTTTTCAAAATGGCAAATATGATAATTAGGAGGTAGGTTGAAGGTTTTAATGCAGAATAACAGTTTTTGGTAGTTATTTAGAACATTTCCATAGATATCTGTACCAAAAAAAGGGACAACTGAGGAGGAAAGAATGATGTGGTTCCCAAAGAGGGACAGCTCCTCGAAATCGGGGACAGCTGGCCCCCTTTACTGTATAGAACATCAGATCTGTACAGAGATCCCGGCGCCATTTTCTGCACATTCATAGGGAATGAGCCCCGAGCTCTCCGTGTGTGTCTGCCATTCTATGTGGTGATGGCCGTGCTCTGTTTACAGTGCTCATCTCCATTCCTTTTCACCGTAAATAGCGGCGCGTTGACCATTGCGGCTTGATTTAAGCTTCCAATTGCTTTCCTGCTCAGGCTTCCTATGGTTGTAATACATTCGGCCGCAGAGTGTGCTGCACATTAAAGAGATAACGATACGGTTATTTATAGCGAAGCTCTTTTTTTTTTTTTCTTCCCTGTCTTTCTTGCAGCTATTTCAGTGGAAGCAGCTGGAGAATTTGTACTTTAGAGAGAAGAAATTTGCAGTGGAAGTTCACGATCCCCGCAGGTAAGCAAATTAGAAAAAAAAGAAAGTCTTGTATGTGAATTCCTGCGTTATCAGAGATTGACTGTGCTGTGTCAGAGCACGGTGGACATACCTGACAGCACTGAAGCACATTCTAATGGCCTGTAGCAGTGCATGTTTTCTTCTCGACCAGATAAGGTCTTAAGAGTGGTCACCTTTTAAAGCTGAACGACAGTCTAAACAAATACAAGAGCCGTGTGTATTCTTATATGACTCTCTTGGTGTGCTATGTGTAATTCAACAAAACCTTTATGCAGGAACTTCTTGTAATAAAGACCGGTCACTGCTGCTCTCTCTCCCTTCTTGTGCAGGGTGACTGGTCTGGTCCCCGCCCCTCCTGTAGTTTCCTGCAGGCAGCCTGTAGTGGGTGGGGTCTACTGGGTCCCTCCCACAGCTCTGCTTTATGCACAGGCTATGTACAGCACTGTGATGATGTCACTGCCACTTTTGCAAGGTGATATCTGGGTCTGCAAAAGCATTTGGTGCACACAGAGTTGATTTAATATGCTTTCGTGGCTGTTGAGGAATAGAAATTTAAAGTTTTTGTTCCCAGGGTTCAGCTTTAAAGCAGACCTTGCCTTTTAGTGCATCAGATCCCCTGTACTGCAAGGACATGTTTGGAATTATGTGTAAAGCAAGGAAACATCACAGTGATATATTTTGATATATTTCACCTTTTAAAGGGACCCTTCCCTGTGCTCACACAGGGCAAACTAAAAGGGCCACTTACCCCCATCCTTTCCCAACAATGCCCATATCCTATGCCACTCCATTTGGCTGGTAACAGGAATATACAGCCTTGTGTATGCTCCAAACCAACTTATCAGAGCTTACAAAGAGATAAGGAATCCTTGCTCACTACCACGTGACAGCACTGGGCCAATCACAAGGCAATTAGCTCTTTCAGATGGGTAGGGGGAGCAAGTCGCATGATGACCCATACCTGGAAGTGCCGGGTAGTTCACATTCTTCCCAGAGGTTGAACTAAGGGTTTGGGTTGTGAAGAATAGCTGAGTATATACTGTGTGGGAGGGTAGGAGCTAAGTGACTGTCACAATCTTACATTGCCTAATGGGACTTGTAGTTCCACAGCAGCTGAATGGCCAAAGTGTGACTGCCCCTGGTCTATGGCCACCTTTTTAGCCTAAAATAGCTAGTAACCCTAAAAAAATATATTAAACAACAAAATCTCATCTAGTTGTAAGGTAAGCCCCATTCCAAAGGGAACATTTGTATGTTTCACATATTTTTATACTTACTGCCTGTCAATCTGGATGGTAGCGCCTGCATTAAAGTGTCACCCGAATCTGTACCATTCATCATACCAAGTTTTTTTTTTTTTCCTTCAAATTTTCAGAATATCTGTGTCAAGGCGAACCTTTGGACAGAGCAGTTTTGTAGTTCAGACCTGGTATGCCAGCAATTCTCTGATCAAGTCCATATGGGTGATGGCAATTAGTCAACATCAATTCTACCTGGACAGAAAACAGAGCAAAGTGAGTGAATGTATTCCACTATTTAAATATTTGTCTGATCTTTTGACATTGTTCATTCATTAATGGCAATTAAATCATGACTTTGAATACAGGTGTGTGTGTGTGTGTGTTATATATATTAGAATGTATTAAAAAAAAACTCTGACTTAGGCCTCATTCACACAGTGTAAACTTGGACCTTACACGTCCGTGTGGCTTACATGCTCGTATCGGGCCGTTCCTGGGAGGGACAGGTGCAGCGTGTAGCAGCCTTTTCTTCCCTATGGGAGGACGGGACCATATGCACACTGGAACTGCACATCTGTGTGGGTCTGGGTGTCCGTACTCAGACGCAGATAGGATGGATCCTGTCCTGAGTACGGACACCCGGACCCGCTCGGATGTGCACTTCCAGTGAGCGTATGACAGCGTATGGGCGTGTCCTCCCATAGGGTAGAACAGGTTGCTGCGTGCAATCACACGCAGCACCTGTTCCTCCCAGGAAGGCCCGATACGGCCGTGCACGCCACACAGATTTGTACGGCCTGACTTTACGCTGTGGGAATGAGGCCTTAAGGTTAAGATGGAAGGGGCCAAACAAGTGCATGCACATATGCTGACAAGGAACATGTCAACGGAGAAGAGAAAACCCTTTATTTTCACCTGGTAATCCTGCCAGTAACATACTTACGGTCCTGTGCTGGGCTACGCTTGCTCCTCCACTATATCTATGGACTGAGCCATGGTTGTCACCCAGGCTGGACTTCAAAACATGTCTTCCTCTTTATCTCTACTACATGGAGGGGTGGAGAATTAGTAGTTTACAGAAGGAAGATAACATTGTTTGTGCTTTCAGCTCACAGGAAGTGACAAGGACGCAGCATTTCTGGCACGATCAAGGGGAGATTTCTGGACTTGTTGAAAATGTTCTTAGTCTAAAAACGAATGCAGCCGCCACATCTAAAGACCGTTAAGCTGCAATATATTACATGTTTGTTCTCGGGTTAAGATGCACTTTATCTGAATACAAAAGCTCTTATATCATGAGACACAAGAGCATATCATATACATTTTGGAAGATTATAGTGTGAGCAAACCCTAATTTATGGCTGAAAAGCTTGAAAAATGTTTTTTTTTTGTTTTTAAAACTCATCTCCCATATGTAGCTAGTAGAATGAATGAGGAACGGAGGAATTCGGGCTAACTAAACCCGAGAACAAAAATGTAATATGTTGCAGATTACCAGTCCTTGGGTGTGGTTGGCTGCATTCATTTTCTTTTTCACTATAGGAACATTATCTGCAAGTACAGAAAATACTTGCTGATCCTGCCAGAATTCCATTGTCCTTGTCACTTCCTGTGAGCTGAACCAAAACAATGTCATTAGTTTTCCCAGCTATCTTCTGTGAACTTCACAACCCCATCTCCCTATGTAATAGAGATAAGGAAAGAGCAAGGTGATTATAGTCCAATTCAGAAGTGCAGCCTAGGGTGACATCACCGCTCCTCTGTAGATACAGTGAGTAAGCGTTGTCACTCTAGGACAGGAAGTGTGTTACTGGCAAAATCACTGACGGGGCTTTTCACAAAAAGGGTGAAAAGTTTGGAGGAGGCAGTAGAAGGGAACAATCTAGCACAGGGGTGCCCACAGTTTTTTGTGTTGATATCTACTTTTCAAATGACGAGCTACATGAGATCTACCAATGAAAAAAAAACCTCCCTCACTCTTCTCTCTCCTGGCTGTCTCTACTTGCTCATCCTCCTGGCTGTCTCTACTTGCTCATCCTCCTGGCTGTCTCTACTTGCTCATCCTCCTGGCTGTCTCTCCTCTCGCTCTCTTTCCTGTCTGTCTCTCATTGCTCTCTCCTGGCTCACCTTGCTGTATTTTGCAAACAGTGTAGTGCAACAGGCTGTGTAAAGTAATATTCTTTGATGTAATACATAGCACTTCAACCACCAGTATCCACCAGAAAGGTGTCAGGGAGCTCGGCTCAGCAGACTCAGGCTAATAGGTAATCATGTGTGCACAGCTAAATAAATATAAAAAAATGGAATAAAGGGGCCGCCATTCACACCCTTCGTGATCTACCAGCATCAGCTTTGAGAGCTACTGGTAGATCACCATCTACCTAATGGGCACCCCTGATCTAGGACAACATAGCTGAACCGGAAAATGAACTGAATTGGAGAATTTTTTTTTTTTTTTTTTATAAATTCTTTATTTCAAGGTTTTCAAGTTATACAGACAGGTGCAATTGGAGAATTTTTGCAGTTCAGCTATGTTGTCCTAGATTTTTCACTTCTCCTGCCTTCTCCCTTTTTGTCAATAGCCATGTAGGTGAAAAAAAAAAAGCCTTAAAAAGAAAACAAATGCAGCCACCAACCACATCCAAGGACTGGGAAGCTGCACTGCATTACATTTGTGTTCTTGGGTTCACATACCATTATGGGGGCATACTTCTAAAGCGTGAACCTGACATTTAGCAAACATTCACCGCAGATGCATGTGCTTTAAAAGGCGCTTGGTGAAACTCACTGCTTTATAAATAGACCTCTAAACATTGACCTGGTTTCAGTTGGTGCTCACAGAGCATCCAATGCACACTTTGTTATTTTATGGGCAAAGCAGGGAAGAAACTGGATGCTAATTGGCTTGGCTATTTGCAATTACAATTTCGCCATCATTAAGAGTTTAATGTGAAGTTATCTCGCCCATTTAAATAATTGCCTTATCTGTCAATGGGAGCCATTAATGTTGTTGTTTTGTTTGCAGCCGCGGTGAAAGTAAGCTTGCAGGAGACATGATGCTAATTGATTTTAGTCATTTATCTTCTAAATTCCATTTTGCTGTGTGACGCAATCACCGACACTTGCTGAGTCTAATTGGCTGGTTCCATAACGCTTAAAGCGTGGCGGGGCCAAGCCCGGTGCATTTGTTGATGTGCAGCAGTTGAGGACAGTACAGAGAGCGGTTATAGGTTTCTGTGTTTTGCTGTCATTTTAATAGTTCTTATTGATCTTCCGCAGGCAAAAATCCCAACCGCTCGCAGTCTGGACGAACTTGCTATGGACCTGACAGAAAGCAGCATGAGCAGAATTTCCAAAATGGTAGATGGAAAAAACCCGGTGATCATGGCCAGCAGCGGTAGCCTGATCTCTTCAGGTAATAACGACACGCTGCTCTCTTTTTAAGGCAAATAAACAAATGAATAGAACACATAAAGGATGTGGATGAAGGAATATGGCAATGCTACAGACCTCAGGTCCATATAGGCACCACCGATGCGTATTGACCAATTGTTTCATGTTCCAGGTTCATTGGACTTGGAAGTCAGCGAGGAGCAAAAAGCCGAGAAAATTCAAGCGTTAAAGAAGAAAGAGAAAGATTTGCAGGAGGTGCTCCTGAAAAAAATTGAAGAGCTGAAGAAAATATGTATGCGGGAGGCGGTAAGTAGCATGAGTCTAAGCCGAGGTTATGGAAACCACTTTAATGGCGAGAGCATTGCGGCATCCATGTTGTGTAGGCCCTGTGCTTCATCTGTGTTTGCTCCCACACTAATCCTTTTATTAATTTGTCCTTCAAGGAACTGACTGGGAAACTTCCATCAGAATATCCGCTGAAGCCCGGTGAACCAGCGCCAAATGTCCGGAGGAGAATGGGCACCACGTTTAAACTAGATGACCACATTCTCCTGAGCGAAGAGGTAAAGATATACAAATATTATATTACAATGTGTTCCTCATGGAAGTTACATTATCTGGGTAGATCTGATCCCGTCTATGGCAGGCAGGAAGTGACGCATTCTCATTTCCTGTGTGTTCATCCTGCTGTGAAACATGTCGCAGTATTCCCTCCTTCTGTCCATTTCATTCAGATCTGCTTTGTTTTGTTTCAGGATTCTGATTTAAGTAACCTGGAGCACAAATTCCTCATCCAGCAGCAAATGGTGGAAGCTACAAAGAAACTCCTGATGGAGCCCGACCTGGGCAAGAATGCCAAAAGGAAAAGGAAGCAGGACTACAGCGACTCCATCAAAAGGTTACAGGACATAGAAAGTGCAATCAATGAGTACAGAGTGAAGAGTGGGAAGGACCCGACCAAGAGAGCGTCTCTGCTTATACAAGGTATGGCGCTATCCCAGCAAGGGGACTACAATGGAGAGCGAGCACTTGGTAATACGTTCGAGAAAATGTTATGCCGGGGTAAAAATGTTATGCCGGGGTAAAAATGTTATGCCGGGGTAAAAATTAGTAGAGTAGATCTAAACCCGGTCAATATAAATAAGCTTTGACGGGTTAATATGATTTCATTTTATTTAAATCTGCAGCTTCTATTAAAATAATGCCATGTGATCCTGCCATGACCGTCCTTATTCAGGCACTTCCTGTTCTGATAGAGCTGAAGGAGATCAGTACTGTCATAGAGAGAAGGAAGAAAAATAGTCAAAGTGGCATTTTATTGAAAAAAAGGCATCATTTATAATACGCCATGGTTGGGGAAACTACATTTTAGCCAACTAACCTCCCAAGAGATTGCATGTCCCACTCTTCGCCTCCACGTTGGATACCATTACAGTATAACTAAAGAGAAAAACCTTTTTTTTGGGCGGGGATTTGGATATAGTAGTGAGGCGTTCGAGTTCCTGTCAGCTTTTCATTTCTCACTATGTGAGAGCAGGAATAGAGGAGAACTTTTCCAATAGGTAGACACTTGTCCCTGTGTTAGAGGAAATTTCACTCACATTGGAAGTCTTCTTACTTCCTGTTGCCTCTACAAGGCAGGAAGTAAAGGGATATCTCTCTAATGAGACACAGATGGAGGACAAACAAATCTGACAGTTGTTTTAAAGGATAGGTTCACATTTTGCAAAAATGAAAGAAATGCATAATTAATAATATATAAAAAATATGCATTTCTTTAATATTTGCATTTAAGCCTGGAAAGCATTACAATTGTAATCACTCGATCACAACTGCAAAGCTCAGGCTTCTGCACATTCTCTCCCAGGCAGAGCTCGTACAGTGGGACGAAGTTTAAGTTAGGAGAGATGGGGGGAAGGACGGCTGGACTTCAAACTGCATTAAATCACTTCATACAGCGTCCAGCCGTCCTCGCTCTAGGTAGATGCAGGAAGATGGGCAGCTGTATGAGGTGATTTAATGCAGTTTGAAGTCCAGACACCCCCCCCCATCGCTCCGAACTGAAACTCTGCACCTCCGTACGAGGTCTGCCTGGGAGAGAATGTGCAGAAGCCTGAGCTTTGCAGCTGTGACCGAGTGATCACAATTGCAATGCTTTCCAGGCTTCAATGCAAATATTTATTTAAGAAATGGCATTTTTAAAATATATTATTAATTATGCGTTTCTTTCATTTTTGCAAAAGGTGAACTTATCCTTTAACCCTCCTTTATTGTTTCCAAGATGGGAAAAAAAAAGTTAGGGCTATAAATGTGCTTTTAATAAAAATATTGGGACCATCTAAAATGTACTACAGTATATAGCTTTTAGCAATCAGCCGCTCATTTTTTGTCGTCTTTCCCCACTCAATTCACTTTTCTTTCAAACTTTCTAGATGACATCATCCCATCCGAAAGTAGTTCCTTATCTGATACAACCACGTTTGATGATGGTGAGTATCGCCTGATTATTTATATGGTTATTGAGCAACACGGGGTGGGGGGGGAAACCCCATTCAAGGTTTTGTCATTTTCTGGGAATGTTGCGTTTATGTAGAGAATGGTGAAATACAAATATTTGTCAATCAGAAATAGATTGTGTGCAGCGCCCCCTGCTGGACTCTTGTGTGCAGTGGAGCCCCAGATGGCTTTGCCCTGTGGGTCAGTAATGTGCATGGTTATTAAGAATCTGTTCAGTCAGGACTTAATTGTGTTTTCTCGATTACAGATGAAGCTCTTTATCTGCAAGGGCAGAGGTCCTGTTCCCTGCAGAATTCTCCTAAAATTCGGCCTCCAAAATCCATGGGAGACAGAAGCCTCTCTAGAAAGTCTTCCCTCAATGAGCAGTTTTCTGATATGAGGATGTCGAGGTAAACAAAGCACCTATGTCCAATTTTATATTATGAATAGTTTTATGTTTTATAAGGGTGTCAACTTTTAAAGAGTCTGTCCTCTTGTGATGACCAAGGCAGGTTGGGTGAAGTTTAGATCTAACTGGTGGACACCATAAGGCCTTGTTCACATGGGTTTCAGCTTGGAAAAGAGCAGTGTGTACAGCAAGCATTTGCAAAGAATGTGTTAGGCATTTGTAAGCTTCTTGCAGCTTTGTTGCAGTCTTTAAAAAAATATTTTCCAATATAGGGATGCTAAACATAGATCTTAATGGGAGTGCTGTCACTTTTAAAAATCTACAGCAGCCTTTCTCAACCTTTTTACCCCAGAAGAACCCTAGAAGTAGTTGTCAGGTCTTGGTGAAACCTGCTAAAAATTCATCGGAGGTCAATGGGGAGATCGCCCCTTACATTGGTGGTCTTTGTAAAGAATGGCCCACTTAAATGGTGGTCAGTGGTCAGAATGCCATTGTTACAGACAGCTCACTGGTATCATGCTGCTGGATATGCCAAATGGTGCTGGACCCAGAAATGTGCAGGTACCATCAGATGGGAGGTCAAACAGCCACAGCTCAAGCAACCCTTAGCAACCTCCTGGAGGAACCCTAGGGCTCATGGCAACCTCCTGGAGGAACCCTAGGGCTCATGGCAACCTCCTGGAGGAACCCTAGGGTTCATGGCAACCTCCTGGAGGAACCCTAGGGTTTATGGCAACCTCCTGGAGGAACCCTAGGGCTCATGGCAACTTTCCCAGAACCCTGGTGGATAATGTCTGAGCTACAGGATTCAGCAGGGTTTGAAACATGTCCAGATAGTGCTGAAGCTCACTGAAGCAGGCTTATTTAAAGCAACAGTCAGAACTCCCCAAATGGAAACTGATTGGGGCTTTAAGGGCTTCAACAAAGATGCTTGACCAACACTGCCCTTCTACAAACTGAAGCCCACGTGAACAAGGCCTGAGACACATAAGAAGCCAGTGAGGGATTCACCAGCGTCCACCCGTACCTGAAACGTCAGTTCTGTGTAGACTGCACATTGCATTTTATTGTAAAACAAATTACGGTAGCTCTTTGGCTGGAATTGCCTTTTGGTTTAATCCCCACAAAGGAGCAAGCAGCAATTGTGTTTCTGTAGTAAGCTTATTCCCCGCGTGTTATACTTTTTATTTCCAAAAACTGGAAAACTAACACTACTTGAAGAACTCGATTTTAGTTTGGAGAAAGTAGATCACAGTCCGCACTTACCTTCATGTGGCTGGTATGTTCCAGATAGATGCTCGTTTGTGTCTGCTGGGGAGATTCGCTCTGTAACAGCCAGTTCAGTCTTTTGTTTTTGGTATAACAGTAATCAGAGCCTGGCAAGGAAAGAGAACCTCCCTGCAACAAAGAGAGATCTGTCCACTGCAATGATAAATGGGAAGGTTAATCAATTCAGCCACGTGTGTAATTGAAGGCGAAGCAGTGTGGACTTTATACCATGCAAGCTATCAGTGTGTAGTATTGCATGTCATAAATTAGTGGTGGTACAGTGAAGATAAATACAAATCAGATGTCATCATTCTGATGCCATATTAAACGTGGCGTGCACATATCTATTTCATATTCTTTGACTGACTTCTGTATTCTGTCCAAAGCTATGAATTGATTTTACATTACATCACAGACATGGTCTGTCTGTACAGGTTTCTTTTAAAATCATTGTGACCTATATTACCTGGTCAGATAAGTAATCTGTAGTCCTTTCATGAACTGAATTGGTTTATCATTCTTATTCAGATTGTGGTCCCTTTTGTATGACAATTAGTCCCTGCCACCCTTGGGTATCAGAACCAAGCTTCATCTCCAGTGCACAGCAGCACCCAGTGATATAAAGCATATTTCATATACAAAGCTTGTTTTCTAATAACTGATCCACTCCAGCATTGTATACTGCGTCATTGTCCAGATTCTGTAAGTGCAGACTAATATATTTGCACCACTTAGTGTTATTTTTTTGTTCCCCAATATAGTCACAGAGAGCCTACGTCAACGCACAGCAGCCCATACAAGACAGCTGAGCGGAAGTCTCATGGGGGAAGGAGCGTCCCTTCCACGCCTGTACTAACACGAAACGCCTACAGCAGCAACCATCTCCAGTAAGTCAGAGATACGGATCTTTCCAGTACTGCGAGTCAGGAATGTTAGTGCAACATAGTCCGGAGAATCAGCTCCAGCTGTATTCCTATACTGGTCTGTCTCACAGGAGCATCAATACTTGTGATGCCCGTGGTGTCACCAAAAATGCTGACTTCTGGTACTCAGTAAAAGAAACAGGTCACCAGCACTCGTTTAGAATAAATATGTCCTTTTTTAATGGACAATTGTGTCACTACAATCAACAGAGCCGACGTTTCGGGGCCGCACAGGGTCCCTTCTTCAAGGCAGTAAAATTGTGACTCGACTTCAGCCAACAGTCTACAACAGCCTTTCTCAACCTTTGTACCCTGGAGGAACCTTTTGACAATAATTCAAGGGAACCCCTGCTAAAATTCAATATGTCTGCAGCTCAAGGTACATTTGTGGTCAGTAGAAAAAAGTACCTCACATTGGTGGCCATTGGAGAAATGCCCCCATACATTGGAGGTAGTAGAGGAGCCCCTTACATGTTGGACAGATGAGAATTTTTACACTTCACCAATGTAAAGTCCCCAATTGGTCAGTGTAGAAGTACATTTTTACATTGGGTGTCAGTGTAGAAGTAAATCCTTACATTGGGTGTCGGTGTAGAAGTGAATCCTTACATTGGGTGTCAGTGTAGAAGTGAATCCTTACATTGGGTGTCAGTGTAGAAGTGAATCCTTACATTGGGTGTCGGTGTAGAATTGAATCCTTACATTGGGTGTCAGTGTAGAAGTGAATCCTTACATTGGGTGTCGGTGTAGACGTGAATCCTTACATTGGGTGTCAGTGTAGAAGTGAATCCTTACATTGGGTGTCAGTGTAGAAGTGAATCCTTACATTGGGTGTCAGTGTAGAAGTGAATACTTACATTGGGTGTCGGTGTAGAAGTGAATCCTTACATTGGGTGTCAATCTAGAAGTAAATATTTACATTGGGTGTCAGTGGAAGATTCTGTCCCTAGGTATGGATGGGAGATCAGTATGCCACTGCTCAAGGAACCCCAGGCAACCTCTGGAGGAAACCTAGGCTTCCACCAAACCCTGGGGGAGAAAGGCTGATCTGCAAAATCATTTTTCAAACCTCTGGTTATTTCTGCTATAACGTTTTAGACCCCATTTGGATGTATATTATAAATTTGAACTCAACCTGGTCTAAAATGTTTTAAATTATGCTCAAATGCTTCACCTTTTGGTATCTGCATGTACCTGTGTTAGTCTTCAATTGATTCTTGTGTCCCTTTGGAGCCCAAGCCACAAGATCTGCCTAAGGCAAGCCTTTCCCCTAATCCCTGTCTTCTCAAATGCCACCAAAAAACATTACTGCCCATTGATGCTCTGGGCTTTGAATGACAGGGGGAAGAGCTGAGGGAGTGGCTCCACAGAGATCGGTTTTAGGACAAAGACTTGTATGCAGCAAGAAGCAGCGAGAATGTTCCGCTAGGGCAGGGGTGGGGAAACTCCAGACCTCCAGCAACTACAAATCCCATTTAGCTTTGCCCCAAACCTTACTCCTTGATGCAAGTATAGTGCCACCTTTGCTGGAGTTTGCCTGCCACTGCCTTCGGCCAACCAGAATAATTTGCAGGTGACTACCTAATTTTATGGTCAGTGAGAGCCATGCTATGGCTCTACCTGCCCCCTACCAGGACTTCATCAAGACCCAAATCACTGGGAGATAATATTTTTGGGTTCTCAGACCTTCTAGGACCATGCTGATAATCTTCCATGTGTATAAACTTTTAGTCCTATAATGGCTCCCAAAAATAGAGGGTTGTCCCTCTTCTGAAATCACATTTATGGGGTCAGTTAAGATGTATTTAGTGCAGCAGCTACCTGCTGTTCATTGTGTAGGAAAAGTGAGATTGACCCGTGTTTGACCTGATTTGTTTTCTGTTTCCTCTAGAAATGAAAGTTTAAGCTACCAAAGCAGGGAGCGCCGCGGCAGTCTGGAGTCGCATACGCCATTAATTGATTCGATCGACGGAACCGCCACATTTTCGATTTCAAAGAGCCAGAGAAGCAACAGCACGGAGATCCTAGATGATGGGTCCTCTTACACCAGCCAGTCCAGCTCGGAGTACTACAGCACTCCACCAAAACAAAACCACTGCTACACGGCTCAGACCCTGGACAACCGCTCCCGGGAAAAGAGGCGGCACAAAAAGCAGAACTTCTCAGCGGCCAACACAGGTAGCATGCCGAATTTGGCACACAAGGACACTCGCAACAGTGTTTACCAAATAGCCCCAAACCAGCCATCATCGAGCTACTACATCACGGGGTACTGCACCTACCTGGATAACGATCCCTATTACAATGGAGGATACATCTATGAAAACGATACGGAGGGACAGTACAGCGTTAATCCTTCTTATCGATCTTCTGCACATTACGGGTATGATCACTATAGGGACGCGAGGTATGACGGGGACCAATTTGTGCCTCAACACCCCTATGCAACGATGAGACTCCCACGGAAGAAACCGGCGGCAAAGACTACCGAGCAGATCACAAAGAACATTCACAAGGCTATTGTGGCCGAGCATTTGAGGGGTTGGTACCAGCGGGCGTCTGGTCACAATGAACAAACTCCCAGACTACAGGGAATGGTGGAATCTGACCGGGGCTCACAGAGGAGCCTGTCCTATGCTTCTATGCAAGTCCCCTCTTCTCCCAGCGCCCGTGTGCCATCTTGTTCCTCTGGTAAGAAGACATGATTGGATTGGCCATTTGGTTGGTCCTATTCTTGGATATCTATATTTACCGCGTTATGACTTGTTGATCTCTGTATTTTACTGCAAGTCTCTAATTACATAAAACACTCAAAGGGGAATTTATCAAAACTGGAGCAGCTGTGCACTGCAACCAATCAGCTTCTATCTTTTATTTACAAATCCTAACTGAACAAACTGAAGAGAGAAGCTGATTGGTTGCCATGCACAGCTGCTCCAGATTTTGATAAATTCCCCTCTAAGTATTCTTGGTACCTACAGACCATGTGACATTTGCCTAGGCTTTAGGTCATATGAGGGAGTCCAGCGCAGTATTTTTTATTTAATTTGTATAATATGATTTGGTAATGCTGATTTACACTATAGATCAGGGGTGGACAAATGAATAAGGAATTTAGGAGCCAGTCTGTCCCATACAGGAGCCAGCTCCATTGACAACAACTTGAGGAGGCCTCAAATGTTAGGTGCCAGCTTGGTTGGGATTCCTCCTGACAAACCTGCACCCAATTTTATCTTATGCCCCATGTGCTCCAAGATGGAGACTCTCATAGTTTAGAGTTAGGACCGCACTATATAGAGGTGCCTTGCGGGGCTGTGCGTCTTTCACATATTCTGCAGAAGACGTGTATCTAAACCTCTGTTTTTAACCTTAGCGGTGAGTTTTTTTGCATGCTGGCTGGTGAGTGTGCTGGGAAATCTTTTGCTGTTGTACTATATAAAGCCCTTCCATGTGCACCTTGCTGTAAAGCTGGTGACGAATTGATGAGTGTGTTTGCCATTTGTTTTGCGTGGTAGCACACACGTTACCTCAACCCCATGGTGTGAACCAGCCCTTGAAGCTGATCTCCAGCAGAGCCGATTAATACACAGCTGAATGACATATATTGGAATGATTTATCAAATACGTAAATCTTTTCAGCCGGTCTTGTGATATATTCATCTATGCTAAACAGCATAGGTTGTAGACCTATGGAATCATGAAATGCACGTATTGAGGTGGATTGTGCTGAGATTTGGATCATCATATGTGAACAAAGATTTACCTGATTCACAATTGTTCCCTATTACCCACAGGGGTCTTAGTTTGTGACATTTTCTACGCTACAGATTTACGTGAAGGTTGAACAGTGAAAAAAAATATATTTACAAGTCCTTTGTTTTCATTTCAGTGTCTTCCACGAGCACCTCGGGGAGTCGGCGGGCACATAACAGCACAATGGCATACCCAGAATACAACACCATATCTCACCCGCAGTACACCGGCTACTCCACGGCATACAGCAGCATACCTCTGCCGAGCAGGTGAGTTTGGATTGTGGTCAGACCAGACGAGCTGCTGCATTCTCGGACTGCACAGCCCCGGAACGTTCTGAAAAGTGCCTCCTCCAATCACGCTGTGGTTTTTTTCCCTGCCATTGTCTGTGCGGGCCAAATGATTATTTAAATGGCATGGGAAAGACTCTGTTAGCATTGGGAAATTCTTCTCATTCCAACCTTCTAACCTTTGTTTTACTGGAAATATTGATTTAAAGGTCCAGTGTATTTCTCATTCATGGGGCATATAGGGCATTACCTCTGGGGTATATGTCCTGCTTTAAGGGTGACCTCAAACTGGAAATTCTGCTGCTGGAGACAACCAATGGCGAGTTTCTCATATGGAAGTCACTTCTGATCTGGTGGGAATGCTTCAAAATCTTGATCTGTAGCAGGACAGCAGCGGCCATTGTGAGTTTGCCTTTGAGGTTTTGAAACTTAGGAAAAGCAACAGGTTCTCTTTATCGTTGCAGTACGAACTTTCCTTACAATCGCTCCCTGGCCACACTATTCAGCTGCTGGATGTGAGGAAAGGAAGCTTTTATTTGAGTTGCTCTAGTCTGGTTGTACACAGGGCTGAGATAAACCTTAAAGGAGATTACCCAATTGCAACACCTGTGACCATTGAATCACTTACAAAAAAAAGACCAGTCCCTGTGAAAGAAGAGGCGACAGAATAACCTTTCCAGCGGCAGTGTCTTGAAATAGCGTAGCTTCACTGTTCTTCAGGTATCTGACTGGTTGGATTGGTCAAAGACCTACTCCCCCTGCCTCATGTAATGGTTTCTCTTGCTGGCTTGTACATTCTGAAGTGAAGCCGGCATAAGAAAGTGATACATGTGGTGGGGGGAGCTGGTTTTTGACTCATATGACAAGTCCGATATCTGCATTGGCTGAAGGAGTGAAGCAATGTTTAAAGACATGGGCCACCGGTACAGTTAATACCCAAAATGCTGAATACGTGATGCAGCTGGGTAATGACAACATGTATAGACACGGGCCACTTGAAACGCAAATATATTATGCCTCTTCTTTTATAGGGCTGAAGGGTGGACATAATAGGCCTCGGGGTAACTAAGCCCACCTGCCTCTGAAATACATTTGGTCCTTTAAACATCTGCACCGATAATGTTTTTTTGGTATCTAGTACCGATATTTTTTTTTCCGGTACTCACCGATACCCATAGTCCCATTAAGGAAGCCAGGCAGCGTGTAATGACTTGCCACCTAGCTTCCTAATTAGCCGGGAAGCCATCCCCATGCTCCCTCATCACCAGGTGATGAGGAAGCATGGAGCCGGCTTTCTGGCCAATCAGGAGGCCAGGCGCCGTGTAATGACTCATTGCCTGCCTTCCTGATTGGTTGAGAAGCTGGCCAATCAGGAAGCTGGGTAAAGAGTCATTACACGGCGCCCGGCTTCCTGATTGGCAGGGAAGGCGGCTCCATGCTCCCTCGTCACCAGGTGACTGAGCATGAAGCCAACTTTCTGGCCAATCAGAAAGGCGGGGGGCGGGTAATGACTCACCGTCCGGCTTCCTGATTGGCCATCTTCCTGATCAATCAGGAAGCTAGACGGCGAGTCATTACACACTGCCCGGCTTCCTGATTGGCCGGGAAGCCGACTCTATGCTCCCTCGTCACCAAGTGACAAAGGAGCATGGAGCCGACTTCCCGGCCAATCGGGAAGCGTGTAATGACTCGTTGCCTGGCTTCCCGGTACTGGAAGCTCAGATATCGGGCTAGGCATCTGAGCGAGTACTCGGCCTCAGCACCGATACCGATACTAGTATCTGTATCTGTGCATCTCTAGGCTTAGGTCTCCAATTATCTTACAGAAATGAACCTCTTACTTTTACATCAGTTAAAAAATTTTATTTCCCGTTTTGATTTCCAGGAGTTTCATTGCTTATCCTTCCCAGCAGGACGACCCAGAAATCTGCCCTCTACCCAGCGACCCCCCGCCCCCCGACCAAGACATCTTGTGGCATGAAGATTCCAAACCCGGCACCTTAGTTTGAAGCGGCCAGTTCTTCATTCCTCACCTCACGTGCCTTGCACTAATTGCCATATCGTAAGACTTTGCCGGTGCATCGCCGTTTCACCGACTGCCCAGGTGGCAGAGGTCTGCCATAAAGAAACGGGCTACTTCCTACTGATTTTTTTTTTATTTTTATCGGCATGGCACAGTCTGCTGGCTTACAAGCACTTGGATTTTATAGTCAAACGTGGAAAGCACTTTGCGGAAGGACCGTGCGCACGATCGGGACAAAAGTTTAGAACTGTGAAATTCGGCAGATAACAACCTGGTAAAAATAAGCTTTGCAGGTTTATTTGCAAGAAAAGCAGACTTTTGGATTTGGAATCGGCACAAGAAATGCTAAACGTGGTCTTGGCCTCATCGCAGTGGACGGGCATATGGTTTGAAACGGTTGAAGTCAGTATTGGTTCTTTCACATGAAGGATTTTAGCAAGAAAGTCGTGGGGACGTATTTTTTAATCAACTACCAATCCAATGCTTCCATTTAACAGAAAAAAAATGCTAGTTTGGGGGAAATGACCCCAAATTGTAAATAATGGGGATGTACAGACATTTTGTTTTTACTACTTTTTAATGGCATTGTATGTTTTTTAATATAATAATTCCATATCCCACAAGGTTAAAAGGCCAGCTCTGTACAAAAGTGAGTTTCCAGTTGTGGTTGCTCACATTCAGTCAAAGAGCTTCTTACATCTCTCAGTGACTCCAGTGAGGAGATATCCCGGTCACAGTTCCTACGGCTGTTCAAGAGGCGCAGCTTCACTAAATGGCCAAAAGTTTGTAAACACCTGACCGTCGCACCTATACGAGCTTGTAGGACTTCCCATTCCAAAACCATTGGCATGAATATGCATTTGGCCTCTTTCTTGCGGCTAACAACCTCCATTGTTCTGGAATGGCTTTCTACACCATTTGGGAATGTGGCTGTGGGAATTTTGTGGGGTTACATACTCGTGAGAAGATCTGGCTAGCCATTGGCATTCCAATTCATCCCAAAGGTGTTCGGTAGTGTTATGGTCAGGGCTCCGTGCAGGAGACCATATCTCTGTGTACAGTAATGCTGGAGCAAAAAACGGCTTTCCAAAAGCTCTTGGAGGCCAACAATTGTCGAAAAATACTGTTCCCTTCATTGGGAACGCCTGAACTCAATCATTTTGGAGAAGTGTCCACACACTTTTGGCCATATAGTGTAGGCGTGACGGTCAGGTGCCCACAGATGTAACTACAGAGCTGGATGGGTTCACAATGAAGATCCTTGACTGATCTTTCATATTGTAAAATAATGGATTGGGGAGTCCAGCTACAAGAGAGTGACGTCTATAACGTAGGAGGGGACCCAACTACTACTAAGTCTTACAGCTGAAGTCTGTAGGTGACCATACACGGGGCACTTTTTCAGAGGATTCATAAAAGATTTGAATAGCCTGATGAGCATTCTTTCAAAACGATTTACCGTCAACCTAGAAACCGTCTATGTGCAATAAGCCGTAGAGCGGGTCAGTACCTTGTAATCATTTTATGTGATCCATATAATTTGAAGGTGACATGCCACTGTTTGGGGTTGCTCAGACTAGACTAGGACAGTACTAGATCTCTATTAGATTAGAATCTCCCTGTATGCTATAGGATTGTTTTGTATTGATCCCATTTCTTAAAAATCAACTGCCTGCAAAAAATGATTTTCAAGTTGGAAAACTTTTCCTCAATATTACCCTTTGGGTACGAGTGCACTGTAAGTATGAAGGCCAAGAGTATGGACATTCAGGTATTTACATATTCTAAAACAAACCATCACTGACCTCAGTAGTTGCAGATACTGCGGAGCAATTCATTCTCAAAGAACACAACTGAGAAGTCGGGTTTTAGTTACTATTCAACCAGTTAGACCAGCCAGACTTTCTCAACCAGGGTTCCCCCTGAGGTGGTCAGTGATAGATTGATCTCTTACCTATACAGACCACCAATGCAAGGGGGCAGGTTTTCAGTAACCGCCAACAGAAGGGGTCACCCCTGCACTGACCACACTATGTGTTTCTTTCCTGTTATTGTTCCATTCAAGATTATAACTTAAAATAGTTTTGTCATATACAGCAGGTAGGTGTTAAATTCAAATCGTGTAGGCACATCACATGCTTTTCTTTAGAACTTTCTACAGCTTACTGATTGCGCTCATTTTCTGTGAGCTGTAGGTATAATCTAACACGGGGTTCCTTGAAACCTAAAAGCTGTTTCAAGGGTTCCTTTGGGGTAAGTAGGCCGGCTTGGTCAAAGCACCCGCTGTTTGTTTTTATTAGAAGGCTGTCCAGCTGCCAGAGAACATAGGGAGAGGACCTGAGATTTCAGCGTGTCTGTTGTGAACGTTGAGAATGAATTCTTCCTCAGTGCCTGCAGCTACAGGGGTCATTGATGGTTTGTTTGAAGCTTTTACGAATATATAAATGTTATTGTCTATAGTCTTGGTAGACGTGCCCTTTAAGTCCCTATTCACACTTTAGCATTGCCAAATATGTCAATAACGTGCACCGCGCTTGGGGTATCATTGTAGTTCACCCTTGTTAATGGCACCTCAAATGCGGCTGGTAAATCACGTGTTCTTGCCCACACATCAAACATGCGTTATAAAAAAACGCAGGAAGCTCGCAGCTAAAAATGCTTCCCAAGCTCCTTTTGCCGCGCTTGTTGCAGGTGCAGCAGCCCAATGAAATATGTGAATGGGCCCTAATACAAATGTATCAACCAAAAGAGGATCACCACATTTTAAACTCTTGACCAATCTTCTGGAAACTCCGCCCATTTGTAGTCAGCCTCAGAGATGTAAAAAGCTGGCAGGTGATGAGACTTATCATTGCCCGTCCAAAACATATTCCAGTCTTGGTGAGCACCTGTAAATCTTATTGACTGCGGGGTGAGCTGGCCTTTAAAGATTTGATGGTACAGCTCCAATTTTTATACATGATCACCAAAGTTGTTGTTTTTTTATATATATATATAAAAAGTTCTAATCTGCTGGTCAGGTATCAAGTTTCTTTTTATTATTTGCTTTGGAACAGGAATTCCTCGTGTGGTAGGTACGGGTGGAAAACAGAAAGTGTGAAAAAGCCGGAATGTAGATTTGTTTTGTTTAATATTTGATTTCCTGCTGATGTATACAATACGGTCTGAAATAATATTAAATTGTCTTTTTTCATCACTTGGGTCTCTTGTGGATTTTCATTCGCCAACATTTTCAGATCTGTCCATTTAAACCCTTCAACAAACCTCTGGGGCAGTGTTTACAGACAACAAAAAAGCCACTTGCACTCCAATATGATGTCTAGTCAATCTCTTTACTGACTAAAGTGGTAAGACATCTTCAGGCAACGTTTCGGAACTCAAAGGTTCCTTCATCAGGCAAACAGTTTGCCTGATGAAGGAACCTTTTTGGTCAGGTATCAAGTTTCTTTTTATTATTTGCTTTGGAACAGGAATTCCTCGTGTGGTAGGTACGGGTGGAAAACAGAAAGTGTGAAAAAGCCGGAATGTAGATTTGTTTTGTTTAATATTTGATTTCCTGCTGATGTATACAATACGGTCTGAAATAATATTAAATTGTCTTTTTTCATCACTTGGGTCTCTTGTGGATTTTCATTCGCCAACATTTTCAGATCTGTCCATTTAAACCCTTCAACAAACCTCTGGGGCAGTGTTTACAGACAACAAAAAAGCCACTTGCACTCCAATATGATGTCTAGTCAATCTCTTTACTGACTAAAGTGGTAAGACATCTTCAGGCAACGTTTCGGAACTCAAAGGTTCCTTCATCAGGCAAACAGTTTGCCTGATGAAGGAACCTTTGGGTTCCGAAACGTTGCCTGAAGATGTCTTACCACTTTAGTCAATAAAGAGATTGACTAGACATCATATTGGAGTGCGAGTGGCTTTTTTGTTGATTTCAAGTTACCTGCAAAGGCATCTGCTGCTACTCCAGCACCCACCCTACATGTTGGTTTTTTTTCCGATCAGGAGTGCGATGGGACTAATTGGTTTTTGAATAGTATTTACAGACAGACACACATGGTAGGCTCAATTCACAAAGCCAACATGCCGGTGTTCTGTCGAGGTGGCCAACTCATTGAGATCTCCAACTCGTGACAACAGATCTGCCACTACCTACCCCAGCAGCCATTTACATTGGCTATTCATTTCTGGAATCTGGCTCCTCCCCAGGCACCTGATATTCAGACGCTATGACATCCTCTGATACACCAGCTGTCTTCCAACTGCAAGTTTATTTGTCCATTATTTACACACATTCACATTTATTCATTATCATTTCCAGGGTAGTAGCGCTCCTACAACTCGCTTGTTTTTATATATATATTTGCAGGGTTCCTCTCCCTGCTATTAGGAGCTCGCACACCGCACATCCTAGTTCACACTGCTTCCTTCAACATAGTGACCATCAGTTAGTTGTGCGCTTATACATCGTTCTAGTTTTTTTTTTTTTTCGTGACAACTTGTAGTTTGACGAGATGGCGCTACTGCGCCTGCCGTCAGTTTTTGCAATCTGCGTCGTCTAAATTGTGATCGAGTTCTCCAACTCCCGTCAGTGCTTGTGGCATCGGGTGCCCGCGCAGGCGCACTGCCGCAGATTGTGGAGCTTCATACTTCACTTGGGGGGCTGTGCGGGCGCACTGATGGGAGTTGGACGTCTCGACGAGTTGGAGAATTTGATAGAACACTGGCATTACTTTCCTTTTTTTTCAATTTGAGTCCAATGATATTAAAAAATGACACTCGCATGACTGCTGGTGTTAAAGCTTTGTGAATTGAGCTTATGGAGTTTCATTGGTGGGCAACTCTGGCACTCCTGCTGCTGTAAAACTACAATTCCCATGAGGCACTGCAAGATTCTCACAGCCAGAGTCATGACTCCCAGAGGCAGATGCATCATGGGATTTGTAGTTTCAGCACAACTGGAGGGCCGGAGTTTGCTCACCCCTGGTTTAAGGCCTCAGTCACACCAAAGGTGGTAAGCTTGCATTTACAGAACATTCCTAAACGCATATGAATTCTAAATATATTTCACTAAAGCATCTGTGAAGACGAGGCAGGGGCAGGCTGTTGTTACCCTTGAAGAGGACGTGCCTGAGTAAAAATCTTACGGCAGGATCACTGAGTACTTTATTAAAAACTGCAGACTTAAAAATATTAATCATGACTTTTGAAATGATATTTACATGCTGAAACTTCTCAGATTGTACTAATTGGATTGACATCTACTCTAAA